TTTCTTCAACATTACCACTTTTTGTATAATTGGTCTTTCCTTTGCATAAATTATCTGTATATTTTTTCAGATTTTTTATTTTTTGCCCGTTATGAATAATGTGTGAGGAAAAGACATTTAAAAATAATTTTCTTTCTAACACCTGAGAGTGAAGCAAAGACCTGCATTCTGGTTAAATATACTGTTTGAACAAAGATCTACTTACTGTGAATTTGGTTAGATCYGGCAATACAGCTTGYGGTGCTATTTTTGCCACAGCTGTTCCATTAGTTTGGAAACATTTCCTGACATTTCTAGTAGTATCTGTGGTCTCTGGGCAAACTCTYAATGATGTTCCATATTCCAAGATATCCCCTAATTGAAATGTGGCATCCATTCCTGATAATAGAAAGCATATAACTTTAATATCATTTTAAAATATAGGACTTGTAGTCTAATTCTTTAGTGAAATTTGAATAACTGGTGAGGCCTGGTGCATTTTAATACTCCGTGACATCGATGKCCTATAAAAATGATATGTCCGCAAATAGAACAAAAACAAAAAAAAAACACTAGAACTTTTATGCATCCCTTAAAGTTTCATCATCTCCACTGTAATCTTATAAATGAACTTTATCTCAAATGTCTTGTCCCAACTGAGGGAATGAACAGGGTTGGGTGTGGTTCATTAACATATATTTGCTATACGGGTATGTGCCGTAGGATAGGATCCCTTTTTCACAGCTCCAAGTCTGGGATAGGGTATCATTTTTTGCCCATTTGTCTGGGTTAGGGTAKTAKTTTTSTCTGCGATAGKRTAGTTTTTTGTCTAGGATAGGGTATTCCTGGTTTGCAATCATCACATGATATTCTAAAAAAGCTATTTAGAGGCTAAATTARYGAAAGATTATTATTGTCCTCAAGAGAACATCTAAATTAAAGGRTCATTAAGAAATTTTGAGCCAAAATAATGCTTTCAACAGAAATACGAGCGAAAATTGGTAAGAATGTATGGGATTTTCACGGGATAGATTTAACTCCTTTATTGAGCTTTCTATGCTCAATACTACATACAGGAACTTTAGTGAAATCATAGCGAGAAATTTTTGACTTGAACTGTACTGTAGTTCACAACCACCGCRAGCGACTGTATCTACCTAGTAATTTAGCCTGCGTAGCGGCCCTAAGGGGATTGGGGAGGGCCGGCCGAGCGGGGAGTGGGGAGGAAAATAGGAAGGGCCTGCAAGCGAACCCCACGGTTTTACAAAACGCCCCCTAATTAATATTTTCAAAAGTCTGGCAAATCCAACTTTACAGTTGTCAAAATAAACCAATCACGAAGCGCTATCAGTATGAGGTCGCGAGGTCAACGGAAATAAAACTAATATTTTTGTAAACATGCTACACCATCAACAACCAGAGCCATAATTCTTGAAACAAAACTTTTATTGTCCTTGTCTATGAGAAAGTCCGTGAAGCGTCTGTCCAAAGCACTTTCAGCGGAAGCATATATAACATCTACACTCGATAACATGTCTAAATTGCGTCAACCAGATTACATCCCTTGAGTCCAAGAGAATCTATTTCCAAGATCTGGTCATTTATAATACTAACTAACGGAGAAATAACTATAACAAGAGGAGAGATCTCTTGGAAGCGAAGCTCGAAGCGANACCAGCACTTGAAAGATTAAACTTTTTCCGAAGCCAGTCGGCAAGATCGCCACCAAGTCTTTCTTTTTTACGTACAGTTGTTCTAAAGCTTGTCGCTGTTCTTCTTTTAGTGAAATATTGAAGCCTTTTTCTTTTAAATCGCTTAAAGCACGCTCTAACTGATAACAAAACCCTTCTTCATCGCCCGCCATGTTTGTATAAACGCCAACTTGATCTGGTATCTATCACTTTGACATTTGATTGACAGCTTGCTGCTCTCGACCAATAGGGAATTTACGGCCAAATCGAACTGTAGATTTCGTAAAACCGTGGGGTCCGCTTGYAGGCCCTTCCTATTTTCCTCCCCACTCCCCGCTCGGCCAGGCCTCCCCAATCCCCTTAGGGCCGCTACGCAGGCTATAGTAATTTTGCTTACAAAACATCTCCCTATGGTACCCGGGGTGAATTCAGATGTCCACAGGGTGAATTCACTCATCCATCCACTTCGATTTACGGCAGGGTACTCCTCTTATTCGTTGTTCCTAATCTCTCGACACCAGTTCTTCTCGGTCAAGAATATGAACACAGGAAGACCAAGAAGAGAAAAATGACAGTTTCTGATGGAGTAGCCTGCGGAGGCTAAACTAGTTGCACTTGGTCATTTAAATATACTAATATACACCCCCAATCTGGGAATTAGGCTTAATGACAAAAATAACGAAAACTGTCACTAGAGTACTACAACATTAAATGTGTGCAACACTTTCCACTATTTACTACAAAATAGTGCTAATTAAACAATAGGAAACAATAGAATTAGCATAATATAGCAGTATTTAGTGGTATTTATGTTGCACAGTTTTAGTGTTGGGGTTGATAGGTGCATTATAACAAATCACGTGGCTCGTTTCGATCTTTGCTTCAAGGAAGAAATGAACACTCTAGATATCCATTTTGGTACTAGTAATAACGCAAGCTCACAATGTTCACAGTTTTTCAGACAAACTAGTGCTGACTATGCAAAGCAATACCTCCATAGTAATCGATTCGGCTTCTTTTGTTAGGGCTGTCGAACCATGCTTGAAAAGGCTCCTCGATTTCAGCATAAGGAAGGTACAAAACTCCTGTAACAGTGTATGCTGCTGGCCATTCAGGTGGATCTACATAAGGCTTGGCGAGAACGCATTTTAAAGCTACAAATGTTAGAACGGCTTTCCACAACATTTTCGTTCCCTTGAAATGAAAGTTTGTTTTCGCTATAAAGTACTATCGCGTGACGAGCATGTGATTTTTGAATTTGACTCATTTCCAGTATCACCCTGTCAATAGACACTCAGGAACCCCATAATCTATCACATACGTCGTCACAGACTAGTTTGTATCCCGCGAGGCGCGCGATAGTGACGTAATACCACAGGTAATACCACAGGTAACCCACAGCGCGCGCTGATTCGATAACATAATATAAAAGCGTGCGCATTCATTCTTTTCTCTCTCTCAAGCAATAGTTGGGTAGCCTATGATACGTCAACAGAAAATGCTCTTAGTCAAATGCTATCAAATTTGAATAACCAGGAAAATACGAAAGACATTCTGTTGGGAATAATTGCACAACAACAATGGCTAAGCATGTTTCAGGTCTTGGTAGTATATCGCCTAGGTATTTTATCCATAGAGGTACCGTAATGCCACACCAAGTATGGCTTTTTTCTTATTGAGCTTCTGGGCACTCATCAACCACCCTGGCTCAGAATCGTATATATATGAAGAAAATACGCAAATGGCTGCTTTAAAATATTTTAGTTCCTTGTGTTTATTTTTTATTTTACCAAATCTGTGATCTTTCAATATCCTAACATACCCTAGTTTTCACTGTCTAGCAGTCTTTCTAGTTGTAGTAATTTATTTGAMCAATAATGAGAGAGACTCTATATATACTAGCTGGGAAACCCTAGCTTACCCTTGTCCTAAAAAGCAGTCCTTTTACAAAAAGACGATTTATTTTAAAGGTAAAGGAAATGTTGGACTGAAATGCTGAAGTTTGGTTTTAGGCACACCAATAATATATAACTTAGAGTCTATACATATCATTACATTAAATGCAGACAATATTATTCTATGAAAATTAATTCTTGCATGTAACATCAGCACTCTATTTCACTAACTTCCAGCCTAGCAGCTGGTGCACCATATAATATCAGACACATGTGAAAAATAATTGACCATTCAAAATTGAAAAATCYTAAATTATGCAAGCTCAACCACTACTGTCATTCTTTGATAACAATAATAATGACTTCTTTATTGAAGTGGAATTATGAGTATTGCCATTTGTGAATTATGCATTAAATAACTATTTCATGAATACAATATCATACAAAAATTTGCTCTTTAGAAAACTAGCATGAAGAAACCTATAGCATTTTAGTTACTGAAATATTGAGGGATATGTACAATATAATTGTGATGAATGGAAACAAGATCAACTTGTCTGGCTGCAGTTTCATAATCTGATTCTGAAGGAGCTAAAATGAAGCAAAATACAAAAATAAAGTTTAATACATGATTTCAACAATATTATATGAATTTGAATATTATTAATTGAATTAAGTGAGAAATAATAATTATAGGTTTCAGGGATAATATACATGTTTCTTTAATTTGTTTTCAATTGATATCATGGACATGTCAGCACTTAACAAAACATTTCTCATTATTCTCCACATCTCAATTTGCCTGCCAATAATCTCAAGGGAATGATTAAAAACAAGTGATCAAGTACAATGCATGATGTTRAATTAGATGTCTTACTTGAGAAAGTCAGGAGCTTTAGAAATCACATGCTCAAACTCTGCAAATGACAACTGGTTGTCTTCATCCAGATCTGCTTCTTCAAATATCTTATGCAGAGAAAATTGGAAGGATTAGTTATACAACCTTTTATTATAATATGTATAAAGAGCAAAGTAATGGTATAATATTCTAACCTTTTCTATTAATGCCTGCATATTTTCATTTGAAAGTCTTTGGTCACCACACAGTCTTTGGATAACTTTCTTTAAATCATTTTCACAAATATAATCATCTTCATTGAAATCTGTCACAATTAAGAGATCATGTTATGAGCATATCAAAAATAATTCATTATTTATAACTGATTATGCATGCACTTTCAGTTTGGGCAACCAGAATTACTAATTATATGTTCACAAATTAATCATAACAAAACCAAAATTTTGTTTTCTACATACCATATATTCTGAATGCATACTCAACTTTCACACTTTTGGGAGCCTGAAAAAAACATTGAAATAAAAGAAGAATATTATTACATGTAAGAATAATTAGAATTGTAATAAACAATAATATATAAAACAATCACTTACATTTTCACTGAATACAGACATCATGTCCAAAAAGTCTTCAAATGTGAGATTTCCATCTTTGGATGACGAAAACACTTTACATATTCTGTCTCTGAAAGGGTTTACCTAATATGGCAAACAATGTTTATTATCAATGAKTGGTTTCTGTGGAAACCACAAGTTATTGCTGCGGCATTCACTGGGCTTACATTTACAAACGTAAAATTTCATATATTTACTCAATATGAGACTATCTTTTTTTGCAGTTCAAAACTCTTCAGAATTGAAATACTTTTTTTGAGCTTTCAAAACATCTGAGCATGCAAATGTCATGTCATGAAATTCGGGGATATTTTTTAACCTTAAGTTTGCCAGATAGGGATAATAATATTTTTCATTTTTACGATAATTATATACTTCTTCTACTTAATTATTAAAAGCAGTTTTTCTGTCATTTTAATAATGATATTCCTTACTCTTAGTTCTGGTAAGGTAGTCAGKATCTTCCTTTGGTTAATTTTGGCATTCTTGTTTAGCCTTACAGCATCAGGATCAATTTGTGAAAAACGCTTGTGACAACTGAGAGACAAAACAGGTTAACAAGCTTGTAAAATGAATCGAAATACTAGTGGTTACATATTGTAAGAAAATACATTAATACAAACTCATTATTTCATAATTTGATTATACTGACTCGCAATTTTTACAATGACGTCATAGCAATTAATAATTGATAATCTTGAATTAAAAAAGTGAAAGATCAAATATATAATTAAACATAAATTGAAATAACTATTACACCTCAACATGACAATAACATTGAGATTATAGTCCACTGCTATTCTCTGCTCTAAGATATATGAGTTAATTTTTAATTTACGAGCAAGATGCAATATGATGTTCAATGTGAGTTGGCCGTGTTGCTAGTTACACGTATCAACAAAATTTCTCATCCTTCATACTGTAATGAACTATATCAGAACAATCTTAATAGTAGCTACAAKTAAACAAACTTACATCTTTTTGGAACTTCTAAATAACAAACATGTATTTTCAAACATGTATTTTCAAATTGTTAAGAAAGAAAGGAACTCACTGTAAAATTTCCTTTTGCGTGAAATACGTCAGCTCCTAAAGAGACAAAAATCAACGGAATAAACACAAATATCCACACAAATTGTCCAACTAACGACTTCTAGACATATTATAATACATAAACACGCTATTCAGAACAATGARAGTGCAATAAAAACCTGATAATCTTTGAGTTCTTCCTCGGTGAACTTGGAATGATGTCCTCCCATGATTGTTTTGGATGCTTGCTTCTTCTCSTGAATGACGTCACAGCCTCGACTTGATGATAGAAATTATTTGTGTGATGCACGGTTGCTAAGCAACATTCCAAGATGGCTGCCTCCAGTAAAGTCGAAAACCTTGAGGTGTGAAAAGTCATCCGTACTCATGACTTCTGTATTTTTCTTTGCAAAAAAGCACTAGCCACGCTTCATACGACTATAGATGCCTACTGTTATAAGAGAAGGAGTAAAACCTCGCCACAATGGCCAGGTTCAACAAGAGACAAATGAAAGTCCTGAACCTGGCAAGACAACACAAGATGAGGATCAAAATCACAATCGAAAGACAGCGTCTAATGACAGATTACAACAACCTAAAGATACTTTGAATAAACAAGAATTAGGAACTAATTCTAATTCGCTGGCTAGCGTAGAGTCTCCTGCGGGAATCGGTCTTCAAAATGAAGATGTTTCTACCTCAAGGGATCTGGTTCCTGTCAGTACTGACATGACTGTAAGAACAACAGATGAACTTTACGACGAACAGAAAGGTTAGACACTCTATAAAATCTAAAATTACGAACATACAACTATTAGCCAAAGTTATCTAAAATCCACTCTAAGTTTTTAAAGCTTTCTCTCAGTTTAATGAAGTATTTTATATAACTACTAGCTGGCAAAATTCTTTACAAGAATTCTTGGATTTCAGCCACGTGATCAAGAATCCCTCCAGAATTATAGAACAAATCGCCGCTATTTTGGATGACTGAACAATCAGAATTAATGATGAATGCTATGTCGTCGTCATCTGACATGGCGGTGATGATGTAACATGGAACTGAGGAATCCCCATCATTTATGACATTTCATTGTGATCTCATCTCTATAGATATTGTTCCTGCCTTACCCGAAGGATGGCCTTCCTTCAAAAACAAAGTGTGGCGTAGAAGAAGCTGTGAACTTGTAAAAAGCACRTCATCWTGTGTTCGTAAAGCTGTATCTCATTTGCATTATCTACAAAACCTTTTTGAAACATACTAYAAACCTACCTCACTAGATAGTRAGACTGAAGGCTTACAAAAAGAGAGCAAMTTAAAATCCCAAATAACTGGTGACAGAACATTATATTCAAGAACTGACACTGATAGTCAGTTAAAAGACTCACCATTTCAACACAGATCTTTATCAAGTAAAAATGTTGATAAAAGAAAATGGCTAATGAGCTATGGATCATTTGGTGAGTTAACACAAGATGAKGAAGATCTGGATCACAGATTGGAGTCCTCAGCTAGTGGTGCAATATTAGAGGTGAATTGAGCTAAATCAACTTAATTTATTATTTGATTAAACATCTTTCCTGTTTTTAGGCTATTTTTATCTAAGTGCATATCACTCTTTATTTCATGAAGACTATAAAATGGTGTGAATGTCATTCCATTATATATATACTGTACATGAACAAGTATTTCATATGCACCCAGCTATAATGAGTCAATATTATAATATTTGTATCTTTTTTTAGCGATTAGCATTCCTACTTCATCATCATCATCAACTTCATTCGGCTGTTGCACAGTCGACTACAATTTTGAAAGTTGCCCTTGGTAATTTTATAATACTAAATCTTGTTGATTATTCCATATATAGGTCAGAGGAACAGGTACAGGAACATTAAGATTAAAAACAGCGACRCCAAGGYTACAAACGGCACAGACAGAAGACCTTGAAGAATCCGAACTACTTCCTGGACATGAAATTATAGATGAAGTATTAACATTGCTTGGGCGTTTAGAGACAGATAGGGTCAATACACAGCAAATGTTGGTTAAAGAACGAGAAAGAGTACAGCARCTTGGTAAATCAATTGATCAACATGCCTGCAAGAGAATGCATGAACTTCCAAATGCTGTCCAAAAAGGTAAATCAATCTTTTGTTAATAAATATATAAACAAAGAAGAGAAAAATATTGAAATTTTGATTATTCTCTTTTGATCACCATCCACTATAGTAATTAATTCAGATTTCTAATTCRCCATGTTAAATTTGTGTAGAACATGAAGCATGTGCAATTGACATAAATGAGCTACGATGGCATTGTGCATATACTGGACGAATTGAAACAAGACTCAATGAAAGATTGAGACAAGCTGGTATGTATGCAGTGCTAGTTCAAGTCACTTAAAATTACCTTGTGTACTATTTTTTCATACRTGTATGATTGATGATATCTTGTTTCCAACTTCTTTTAATGGTGTAATRTTGATATTGAACATCAATTTAACATGATTTTGTAGCAATGATCATATCTCATTTCTCTTTCTCTAGTTGCTTACCTCATCTCAACTTCAACTCATATCTGTTGTACATGATTGTATCTTAAGATGTCGTTCTATGTGTTGATTGTGATCTTCCAAATATGGATTATATCTYCCTTCCGTTAGCTAGTGACTTGTAAGTCACAGGACAATCCAATGACTGTCAATCATAATAAAGTTAACCATTGTCATTAGTCATGACCTGTCAATCATTGGACAAAGCCTTGTTAATCATAAGGCAGTGACTTGTTACCATTGGTTATGATCTGCCAATCATTGGATAACAACTTGTCAACATAGCGCAGTGACCTGTTGTCATTGGGTAATAATCTGACAGTCATTTGGTAATGAATTGTGAGTCAGCTATTGCTGGTCATCATTAAATTAAGCTGCCTGTCATTACTTTGGCTGTTTACAGAAAGACTATTATCAGCTGACAGTCATGGGCAATAATTGCACATGTTTTGCATTTAGTTTGCATTCAATTCAGTGCTGTCTTTAGCCATCTGCCATTGTTTCATTACTGACTCTTAAAGCTTGTAGACATAAGCTATAAAGCTACATGCACTGCTAGTAAAGAGCTGCAAGGGCCTGATTTGTGTAATAATTCTATCTAATTTTCATGGAATGATGCATATTGTTACTGCATATTACTTTGCCTTTGATAGCAGTTTTTGTGATATTTTTCATTTCAGTGAATTGATACAATCATTATTAATTGTGCATTTCAGAGAGCAAGCATGCAAAGTTATTGCAGGATTTAGAAAATATGCAGAAGCATTGGTATGTTAATGAGCTTTACATGTCTGCTTCACCTTAGAAACAACCCGCATGCAAGCTAGTAATTATCTTGATGCTCTTTTCAGTCCTTTAGTAGAAGAGAAACTGGACTTAGAAGGGGAAGCCATGTCTAGTATCCAAAACAAACAAAATGAGACAGATGATGAACTGCAAGCAACTCTGCAAAGACTCCAGGCAACAGAAATGAAGACAGCAGCAGCACAGGGCAAGGCCTCTCAGGAAAGAGGACTTATTAAACAGGATGTTGACGTGGTCAGGAATGAGCTCAATGCTGTCAGGTAACAATTTTGTTTTCAGTGTAGTAAAATATTATATTAAATTATATATCTAGAAAAATAATATTTGAATTGTGATATTAAATTGACTCTAATTATTGTCATTTTTGTCTTAGTGATGAACTGGCACAATTAAAGATGTATTATACTTCCAACACCCATACCATGCAYGACATTCGAAACACGTTAAAAGAAAATGCTGAGCTTCTTATACAGCTAGGTACAATTTTTTTAAATGTACTCGAGACAGATACAACATGACAACCATGCAAACATTTCAACTTAGAAAAGAAAAAGTTGTAGCAGTGACAATCAAGTCTATAATAATTGCAGTGTTGTTAAACAGACTAACCAAGTGTATAAACATAGCAAACAATTCCCCACCCATCTCAGCTGGCAGCTACATGTAACTTAGCATACATTTTTTAGCCAGCTTCCATCTAGTACGAATCCTTTAGCAGCATTTTCTAAAGAAGGTTTCCTCAAGATTTCACGAAAAATGCTTGGCATGACTACCTTATGGAATTCTTACCATAGCCTCCTTTAGCAGCTGCCCCTGTGTTGTCACGCAACGCTTCTGTTGCGTGACGACACAGGGCCGGCTGCTAAAGGAGGCTATCCTTACCAAAGCATTTGCATGATTTGAATATAGAACGCAGAGAGGAAAGAATCAAAGTTATAGAAGCAACACAACAAGATAAGGTATGGCTTCACTGGCAATGCAATGACGTTATTACCAGTATTTATAGTAGTTTCTTCTTCACCAAGGTCCAACGACTTAGAGAAAAAATAGTTGAACAAGAATCTGAACATCACAAACTTGTTGAAGAAAATAGTAAATTGTGGACAGAAAAAGAGGTTATGGTGAGTGAATGATGAGTATATTACTTTGAATATATTCTGTAAAAACGATACAAAAATGCATAAGTGTCCTAATCAAATCTTAATCATGTTATTGGTCATATTTGTAGAAAGCAACTCTTCAAACAGACATAAGTAAATTGGAGTATCGATACAAAAATGCAACATCAAGATACAAAGAGCTGACTAAGAGAAACAGGGATACTCAAAATGAAATCACCAACATCAAGAAACGGCTACAAGACTGGTAGGTCTTCAGGTTCCTCATCTRATAATATTAGATTATTTRCAAGCATTTGTTCACARTWTGGTTCAACGTCGTAMACTTCTAAAAGCCATTTTCTTTATCTCTCATCCAGMCATATCTGCTCAAAGACATAATCCGTGTAATCTCAAACAAATAACTCACAAGGCTAGAATTGTTCAGACTTATCACTAACAACTCTTAATTGTATAGTGCTAAACAGAAAGTAGCAGATGARAAGAGTGTGAGYCGATCTCAACTGGAAATAGAAAAAGTTCGTGAGCAGCTCCTTGTAAGTTCCTTTTAGTTTGTATTTTATATAATTATGCAGCTATTGATAGAACATWGCTCGTGTAATTGCTGGACGTTTTGCAAGCATATGCAGTAAGCATAAGAATGTGACTAATGCGAGCTTGTGTCGACTTCGCGGTTATTTCATTTATAMATAAGCAACTTTTCAGCAACACTTTTGGTGCACAAGGTTGGAACACACCCTTTCTTATTCTTTATTTAAACCCTTAAAGCCGCCACATTCTCGAGAAGAAAAAAACTAACAGAAAAAGTTAAATTTCAACCCTCGGTAATCAGGATATTTCCAGCAAGTGCGTTTTCCAGTGATTGATATGTTGATCATATTATTCGTAGGTGTCAAAAGAAGAAACCACRAAGGTACAAGCATTACATGGCAATCTGACAGATACTGCTGCAAGCTTCAGAGAAGAGACATCGTCAATAGAAGAATCATTGAAAGTAACAGCAGACGCCTTGAAAAAGCAGCTTAAAGACGAAGCRCATGCGCGCACTGTGCTACAGGTACTCAACCGTCGTAATGACTAATGTCACTAATGGCTTGATGATAAATTGATATTTATTAAAAATTAATGATGATGATGCTCTAATGCTTAAGTGCTTGATTGTTGTAATGATGATATTTTGAAAGTCATTGTGRTATTGATTCCGCTTCTTTCAGGCCAGAATTGCAGCWGACGGAGCCGACTTACAGAAAACTTCAGTAGATTCAAAGAAGAAGCGAGAAAAGGTAATTCAATACATGGATGTCACTGTTTGCATCATTTCTTCACACCTTGTTATCTTGTATTTCTAGGCTACAGGAAGAGCTGATGAGATCGAMAAACTAGTTACCCACGTGAAAGAACAAGTAAGAATCTTCTTCTTTCAAATTATTCTCTCAAATGTTTTCTTACCACTTCTCTCTGTTACAGGTAGCAAAGCTTGAAAAGATACACAGCGAAAGACAGCATGTGAGCTTTAGCTATAGATTGAAAAAAAAAAATCAGTAGCGCCGCCCCGGACGATTTAACGGCTTTTTTTCTGACTATCGCAGCTAGGGTGTCTGCTCCATCTGCTATTTGAACTGCTTAGTATTTCTCTATCTTGAGATCATAAACTAATTGAAAGCATCTCTTTTTTTTGTGAACTTCTAGACTATTTCAGAGCTAAACAAGATCTTGGAGAAGGTGGCAGTACAACACAATGACATGCAAACTAAACTCAACAATGAAATAAGTCAACTCAAACCAAAAGAGGAAGAATTAAAGGTATTTTGTCAATGTCAACGTCAGACCCTGAGAGTAATACCCATCTGTGTAGGTTAGAAAATGTTATGCACCGGTCTGTAGGATTCATCTACTATTTACATCGTGTACAATTGATACAGATCTATCTGTTATAGATAAAGTGCTAGAAAAATATGTCGATAATTCGGAATGTTGCGTTATGTTTGTTCTTACAGAAAGAAAACATGGATCTTACCAAGAAGATCGACCACATGGTATGGAAAAGTGAAATGATGGAGAARAAGATGCAAGACATGGCTTCATCAAGTAGTATGATGAACAAGGCTATTGCAACAACAACAGAAGCCATTAATGATCTCACGTAATGCTTTCTTCTCGTTCTCTTTTGTGTTTTTTTTTCTTTTGTTTTTTTTTTTGTTGTTTTTTTGTTGTTGTTTTTTTCTTAATCCCTGTTTCTCTCCATCTCAGTCGAGCTATCTTCTTGATCTTTTTTATTTCAATTTGCTTCCGTATGACAAGCTATTTTCCCTCTAAACTTTTCCCCTCTACTCCCTCCCTTTCATCCCGTTCTTCCTCCCATTCATTATTATTATTTTAGGGAGGAGATGACTGAGCTGAATATCCAGCTTCAGACTGGAAAGGAAACTGAACAAGATCTTAGAAAATCGCTTTCACAAGCRGAAGGTATGCCATATATCATGGAGAATATGTCGCACCAATTCTCTTACATGGTTGTCGTCCTAACATCAGTACTCTAGCAGAATCGTCATCGTCGTTATCATCCTATAATTTATTTTCATTAAATTATTCTATTCAGAAAGAGTAGCAAGAGGACAAGAAGACCACGACCAGCACATGAAACAAAGAAACTCAGTACTCGAAACAAATCAGGTATARAATCTGATAAGTAATTTTTATGTGTGTAATCATTATTGTTGACATTGAACATTAATCATGTTTTATTGACTTTTTATTTCTTATTATTCCCTTTTCACCGTTTCTATGGTATTCCATGAGTTCATGAATTTACGGCATTCATTTCTTCATCAATTCATTGGTCTGTCTTTCATGATGTATAGAAAGGAGTCCAGTCAGCACTAGAAGAAAACAAGCAACTGGCTGAAGAATATGAACGTCTACAAAAACAGTACCTCAACAACAAAGCTGCTATGTTGAGAGATTTCGAAATTAGAGTTTACAGCGAGAATAGCGTCAAAGATCATAGAGAGGTAAAGTACAAGGAAACATGATTCCTTCGCTCATGGTCATTTTTTGTACTCTAAAGGAGACCCACTAAAACTGCACGCTTGAAAACGGACGAAAACACATTTGATTTCATTGTGCTGCTGATTTTATACTCCTGATTTTTGAAAAGTTTAATTATAGCCATTCGTGTATTCTTATTACTGGCTGTAATACAGATGAACAATTCCCTCGTGTTGAATTCATATTTGTTGCCTTATATTCAAAACAAACTTTTTCTTTCAGCTATTTGTACTTCAAGAGCGCATGCACAAAGCCCTCCAATACTACTACAAACTGCGAGGCTTACAAAACAAAGCTGATGTTGCAAGTTTTGAACTYAGATCTGCCGAGAACGGCGAAAAGCTGGTACGTCTCCAATCAGAAATGATGAAAGTCATTGAAAACATCAATCGATTTTTGGAAGCCAACAATGCAGCTCATGACGTCATATCAATGGAAGCTGCTAAAATYGCTAAGACTCCACCCGGACAGACATTGGTCTTGTAATAAGACTACTCCTCTGAGCACCAACTATCAAATGAGAGATTGTCAGTCCAATGGGAAAGAGATGTTATTGAGTATATTTGTAGATATTGTATAGAGAAATATAAATAGAGAATGTACAATTAAATTTGCTTTCTGACAATCGAAATAAACTGACATATTTTGACTATATATTCAGATTTTGTTCTAACCCTAGGGGTCATGGACTCCAGGGCGAAGGGATACTTTATAGCGCGCAGTCATACAAAAAAAACCTGTCAGGTAGCGCGTGTTTGTATTTTGCTCGACCAATTTTCGATTTTAAATTGGATTTTCCTTGTTCGTGATAAATGTCAGGTTTGGGCTACCTGAACAGTCTTGCATTTTAGCGTTCCCGGCCCGGATGATGGTCTGGTGTCGGGTTCCTCAACATGACAGCAATCAGATTAAGAAAAAAAAYATGTGTTCAGATTGAACACTTCTCAAGGAATCATAGCATCTTTACTCAATTAAAAGTAAACGTATGGTGTGCGAGCTCCTAAAATTTCTTTGACATCCGGCTGGTGTTTTCTTGTTCACGCTCTGGGGATCTTGACCCAAAATGCAAATTTGTGTTGCTAGCAACGCTGGTCTATTCATATCAGCACGCTGGGTCAGCGCCGGCTACAGACAAAGAGAACTCTTGATATATCATAATATATATACTTTACAACTGTAGAGAAAATTTTTTGATAAAGTCTTCGRTTAGAAGCTAACATGGAAAAACTCACTTTAACTTCAACAAATATGGAAGTGTATAAGCATCCAAGACACGTTCCCGGGTGAGTTTTAATGACTGTTTGTACTATAAAACTACAACAAATATTAACATRTAAATGTAGTCATCTCTGTCCAACAGAATACCGACTCAAATACTGTAATTGCTTAATGCCTTCTATGGAAGATGCGTTTGCTTTCAGTACATAAATTGATTTTGAGCGTCTGGGCATAMGAGTGAATTTCAATACGACGGATTCTACATGATTACAAATATAACATTGCTCCTCTACATTTTTTTATATACATATAAAAATAGTCTTAAATTTAGAAGTTTCAGTCTAGCTAGCAAGCCCCTTGTCGTATAAATGAAGTATATCATTTCTCAGAAAATAAATGGGGTTTCTTGTAAACGTTCAGTTTAGCGAGCTAAGTTAATTTGATGATCTCCATAGCAACGGAAAGCCATGTCACAAAAATTATCTACTCATTCAAAGACTTCAAATTCAGATAATTCTTTTTTGGATTTTTATAAGAAGCAGGATTCTTGCTCCGTTATTCTGCACTTTATATTTAGACCATCGTAGTCGTGCGCACAAAAACAGTCYAACATTTTAGATATTTCCACACCATTCATCATAGTGCAGATGATCAATTTCTRTTCTTCTCAAAAAGTTAACTCCATCTGTTATGAAGTGAAAAATTAATTGAAATTTATGGATAACGTGAAACGTTGCTTCTTATATGTGTGCATTCTTTTCAGTTACCTTGGTTACACACCTACCATTAAGTACAGATATGGCGACACATTCGGTAATACTACAGCCAAGTGGTTTAACGACTACAGACAAGATACACTTAAAACTAGCAAAGAACGAATGGGGAGGGGAGGTGATAAACATATCCCATTCCCTACTTACTATACAAAGAACCCTGATCACGTGGTTGGAACCCGGACCAAGTCTCGTGACCGATGGCTTGCAGCACCGAAATACCAGTTGTTCAACGTTGATGATAGAGGTGTAGCTGTCAAGAAATTTGACGTGGTGAGCGCATGGTTTTATGCGAGTCAAACTGWGTAACGGCTGTGATTTTCAACTCCTGACAATAGTGCTTTTTTTTAACTTCCAATGATGTAGTCAAAATCTATTGGATGATGAACTAATGTTCAGTACTATTTTCTGTTGTCTTTCAGGGAGCGCAACATCACAGAGAACATTACCGGGACCGAACCGAAACAGTTCCACCTGTAAATGTGTTTATACTACCGAAAATATCATATGATACCATGCCTCCATTTTATCAAAAGTAAGTGACATGTGCTGTACAAATCAGAAACACARCTTTCGCTCCAYTCYAGCTAGCTGCTGGAACGAGCGAGCTCGCGCGCTCCCCCAATCCTTATAACTCACTTTTTTTTCGTTTAATTTTCAGAGAAGGTAAAATATCCGACCATCGAAAGGCAGTGGCCTTCGCTAATCAAGTGTACAGGACTATGAAGACAGATTCCCTCGCTAAATCGTCTGTAGAAACACGCAGGATTCGAGACGTTTTCTTTGAGAGAAGATAAAAATCTTCTGAATAGCCAAAGTCGAGTATTATCCATTCCATCGTGCTAACAACAATCAGTTCTTTGAGCATTGAAATAGCAATAAATACACACATCTACACAAACCAGAAGAAGAAGCATGACAAAAAATAATATAAAGAGTGAAATTATGAAAAAAACATAAAAAGATCGGAAAAAATTAAGCTAACGCATTGTACAGTAAATGAAAAATGACGCGTTTCCTATTGGATAAAATAATTTTAAAAGTCTTATTTATTTATTTATTCATATGAAATAATGGCAGGCGCGGAATTGGCAATAAAACTTTATAGCACGATTGGTTTTCCCCTCTCTTTACATGTAATTATCTACATGTATTACRTTTTTCAATAAAATTTAATAAAAATGGTTTATTTGCATTACTTTTTGTCATTCATGCATTTACGAAATATAACAGGCGAAGCAAGTGCAGCTAGTAGCGTGACCGTCACACGTCACACAATCCCACGAGATCAAGAATAAACACATGACGTAATCTATACCCATAAGGCATTGTAGGCGCACTATGTGTACGTACAGTAGAAGAAACTCAGAATTTTATGTTTTGTGTCGTTGAAATTTGTCAGATTTTAGAATGTTTTCGGGAATTCAAGGCGGTCAGCCGAACCAGCAAGGTGAGATACGTGTTATTTAAATTAGAGAAGGTAGAGTATTATCGATTTCTTTGAGAATTTTGGCATTTTGTAGAGAGGTTTTCTAGTCAGGTGCAATTGCATCGAATATTTAAAACACRATTTTCTGATATTCTCATTTTTTTTGTTCAACAGCTATGAGACCAGAGTTGTACGAGGTATGTTTATGAAAATTCTTACCTCTAATTTCTATTTTAGTATTATAGATTCGATTTGAATCATGATAGCCTTGAATATTTATCTTAAGTGAACAAAGCATTATGGTATATCTGCTATGTGTTATTTCAATATTGTGTTTATTTTGTCACAGGAAGTGAAACTGTATAAAACAGCTAGAGAGAGAGAAACGTATGTAAAACTTCATAAAATTGACAATTGTGTATGGTGTTAAGTTGTGTGTTTGCTTATTGACACTTGACATATCATAAAATTTGCAAACCTCAAGTAAACCATATGCAAATCTCGTGCCCAGCGCCACTGTCCTTCTTACTGTGCAAGGTCAACTTAAAACATTGGCGCTGGAGTACACGAAAATTTCTCGCTCTCTGATTGGCTCATAAAATAAACACACTTGCCGCCAGAAGTGTTGTGAGGTGTGCGATGGTGTCAGCTCATTGGCTTTTGAACTTGTCATGTTTGAAACACAGTGATATACATGAGAATTGCATTTTTCAAAGGCAGATGGTAGTAGGAAAATGAAACTGCCAGATCTTTCATCTACCAAATGTACTTTTTACTTGCTAAAATGTATTTGCTAAAATGGCATTGCCTTTTTCAGTTATGACAACATGGCAGATCTGTTTTCTATCATCAATACATTGCAATGTTTAGAAAAGGCATACATAAGAGATGCTGTCACACCAAAAGAGTAAGTGTCACAATTAGTCTGATCTTCCAGTAGCTCAAAAACTGTTTCTCTCTTGCTTCCAATCATGAATGACTGGATATGTTATTTATAGATACACAGCAGCATGCTCCAAACTCCTCATGCAATACAAAGTAAGTTTAAAATTCATAGCTAAGAAGCTTTGTGCACCACATAAATAGCCCAAATAATTACAGTAATATTATCTAACGAATAGATCCATTTTATTAATATTTTAGGCTGCCTTCAAGCTTGTMCAGTCTGATGAATATCCAACAGTTGATGCTTTTATGAAAAAATTTCGAGTAAGTAGCCATTGAATTTCAATTTGTCCACAAGAAGATCTTGATGAAATTGTCTGTCCTTCAGTCAATGCCTTCAAGAGGGTCTGCTGTCTGTACTAATCATTCAATTGRACATCTTTTTATGCAGCTTGATTGTCCAGCAGCTCTGGAAAGAATCAATGAAGGTCGACCTATCACAATAAAAGATGACAAAGGAAATACCAGCAAAGCCATTGCTGACTCTGTCTCTGTAAGTTGCATGCTTGTTTTGTTTGTGTTTAGACATCCACTTAATAAATTCTCTAGCTTACTTTGATTATTTGAAAGAGAGGGGAGAGATACATAGCAAACTTTTACATTATAGACTGGGAAATCTCTCATGTATAGACATACTAGATACATTTCACTAGATTGAAATTAAACGTGAAAATAAGATAATAGAACAATAGAACAATAATGATAACATGGCTTAGCTGTTGCTCTTCTATTGCTCTTTTCATCYTAAATTACACTTTTTTTAGAAATGCCTAATTATTTGTGATATTTTCATTCTTGTAGCTATTTATTACAATAATGGATAAACTTAGGCTGCAAATACGAGCTGTGGATGAGGTAAGTGTGGCTGTGATATAGTATCAATTTGCAGACATATGTTCATAATCTAAAATATTGGCATTCAACAGGTTCAACCAGATCTACGGGACTTAATGGATACAATGAATAGCATGTCTAATTTACCTGATGATTTTGAAGGCAAAGACAAAGTTAACACATGGTAAGAATAGAAGGAGTGATGAATGTTGTCAAATGTTACCTTTTTTGCACACAAGGTTATATAAAGTTTGGATAAAGTTATCCACCAGGTAAAGTTATCCACTCCATAGATTTTGTACGGATTTTATCAACTGGAAAAGAATTTATCCAGTGGATATCGCTATTCACCCTTCGTCCAACAAGCTAGCCCGGGTAGCACCGCAGTGTTTATTGTATGAAATAGCGAGTGTCATCCTTGCATTATTGCAAAACTCATTTCCCATTTTACTGCCTAGCTGTTATGCATTTTATTTGTTTGTTTATATTACTGTATGTGTTTATATCAAAGAACATTGCATGAATGCTGTGCATTTCCCATGCTAAAGATTGAAACTTTRATTTAGGTACATGACCCTGAACGGAATGAAAGCAAGTGATGAACTTACAGATGAACAAGTACGACAGATGTTATATGATCTAGAGCAAGCCTATAATGCATTTAACCGAACTCTTCAACATTCATAGAATGCATAGTACACATTTTGTAGTTGAATAAAATAGTTGATAGATTTATAACTAGATTCTTCAACTCTAGAACAGTTTGTGGTAAAATTATCATTTCTCAGCATATGTGATCTATGATTTCTTGAATTTTCTCTGGAATAAGCTGCCTGAGAACACTTGGTGAAAGTTATTTTTAATGTAGTTTAAAACTGCACAATAGAAAAAAATCCCTTCTATTTGTACATATAATATAGATTGAAAATTACAATCTCATATTGCTTTCATAGTACTATCATGCGTTCCAAGATTCATTTAATTTAAGGCAGCAATACTTATTGCAAATAATTATATCAAGAAGCAAGTAGCCAAAGGGACCAATGTGAACCATTCAAAATCTTTGTCGTCAGCAAAGCATATGGGGAAGATGACAACGTCTAAACTTGTGAACTTTATATCCATCTTCCATTGCGTATTTTGACAGTGATGTAGGTCTCAGCCAGGAAATCACTGGAAATGGTAGACAGCGCTTGAATTTCAGCTTTGTAACCCTTGTTCAGCATGAGCTCAACCTAGAATACATTTAAATATTAATATAACACTATAATGTTATAACATCACATTAACACTCTCACTAGCAACCCAGTTAAAGTAATATGTGATAATATTATGCCTACCTCTTTCTGCCAAGATGGCTGATTTTCAATATAAGGTTTAGTCAAAAGTGATTGACATTTTTTCCTGTCTTGTTTACTCAATGGTATTTTCACATGATCAGATATTGATAACCTTGTGAATAAAGCAGAGGATACTGTTTTTTTAGTGAACTAAGCAATCTTAAAAGGTAACTGTGCCTTAAGAGCTTGCRTGATAAAAACCTGTAAGTCCTGTCTAGCATTACTGATGCTTATGGATCATCTCAGTGAGACAAAAAGYTTCCTTTCACAAGGAACTGTCAACAAGACTAGTTTAGGATAGTTCTGCTAAARATTATGRTCAAATAAACTGAAAAGATTCTTAATAACCATTTTATTTTTTAATTGCTATGCCAAAGATACTAATAAGCAAAAACGACAGTGTGCTACAAATTAATTAATGGTCAAACAAAATTGTTATTTTTAACAGCTGTGATAATATTATTTTATTATCTTTCACAATACTTAACATAAAGTATGATGTACTACAGTGCTATATGATAATTATTACTAAYAGCTGTCAATCATACCTTTCAATGTCACTTGGAAGGACCCCAAGCCATTTTATTGCTGGTACRGTGAGATTATGAGAATCAAAGCTGAGTGCCTACACGTAGAGTTMATTTAGAGGGTTGAGAAACTTGTATTGATTTAATACTTTTCAAAAAAACACAATCCAGTGCTAGAAACAAACCTTAGAACCATATTTGTAAACACTAAGGATTTCTACGCCTAAAATAGGAATAGAAAAGAAACATGCTGCTTTATAATGTCATTCACATATCATAATGGGGCAGGCCTTGGTTTGCCTTTGTAGGCACAAAGTTGTTAACTATGTACTTCGTGCAGTGACATGTCAGCAGTCTTCTCCATCTTCCTGCCTGTTCTGTGACTACATCTCTTATACTTGAGCAGAGGTCCGTTATATCAAATGYACTTTCACAAGAAAGTACCTAAACCCTGGAAGGCTCTCACCCAACTAACTAGCAATGCAAACTTTGTATACTTTGAAGAAAAATAATACTTTTTGATTACCATGTGGATCAGCATCAATCAAACCAAGAACAGGAATATGAAGAGTGTGCCATAACTTGTGCACCATTCGTCTTGTATTCACATCAGGATATCCCTTACCCTTAGGAATAATATTCCAATCAATTACTAAAATGTTTTCTAATATACAATTATAGTGCCATTTATTATTAATACCAAACCTCAGTTTCAGAAGCATTTTTCTGCACCAATTAAACAGTTTTAGAGCAAATTGATATACTAGACTTACTTAAAGAATTTAGATCTGAAAAATGTCTTATGGGACAATACACTACCGTTATAAYAATACATGGCTTGAGTTTTCCTAATATATTGTCATTCATCAGACGTTGAAAGGATGCTTCTTTCTCAACCACTAAAATCATTTTAGCATCAGAGTAAAGCTTTACAGTGCAGTCAAGAAAAAAATCAAGCGAAGTAAAAATAAAAGTACAAACATGACGAAGGATTAACATCCGAAACATCAGTAAGTTATTTCCCATATTTTTTTTACGGTTATTTTTTTTACGGTGTTAAACTTATCTTCTTTACACAACATGACAGGCTTGAAACTGATTGACAGTTGCATGGACACCTAGGACTTTAGTAGTCAATAAGATGTAAATAACAGAAGGTCCTAGCTCAATTTCAGGCCATTAAGATTTTTTTATTCAAGCACCAAAACAAAACTTARGCAACATATGCATTGGGCCTATTCTAATCTTAATCATCAGCTATGTCCCTGTGTAAAACTTACAAACCTTTAACTACCATCATGATTACTCAGATAAGAGCTAATGTGATTATAACTGTCCTGACAAGTAGCCATATACTGAATAAGGATATCATTGATCCCTTCTACATGTGATGAGACAACCACACCCTAAGATTATAAAGACATTTCATAATAGACAGTGTTTGCAAAATTATAATTTACAGTTCCAATTTAACTTACAGATGTTTGAAATCTGCAATCCACATAAGTTCCATCATATTCCCTGTATCTTAGATCACCTGCTATTAATCCTTTCAAACATAGAAAAATGTTTTTTGTTGYATTTAAATTACTTATATTATATCTTGAATTTTATCAAATTTACAGTTTGAAAAGACATTGAATATTTCACAAAAAGAACCTGATATTTGTATGAAAAGTATTATTTACCTTTAGATGTGGCAAGCTAAAAAAGATAAAAAATTAAATGTTATTGAAATGTCTTCAATAGTTTGAAATGTAAATTTCATGCATTTTAGCTATCAAATCAAGAATACTTACTATATGCAAGCAGTRCCGTGGTACTTTTAGCATACAAGCAATTGTGTCTACAACCTCATCTACAAGGCTTTGAGATCCAAAGAATACTACATCTGAATAATAGATATCCCTATAAAAAGCCAAACACATTTTTGTTGTGGCTTTGTTTTTTAGGGATTTTTTTGTTTGTTTTTTTGTTTGTTTGTTGTTTTTTTTTGTTTTTTTTTTGTTTTTTTTGTTTTTTGTTTTTTCAGTCAGTTATAGTGGTTCTTACCTTTTTGTGGCAAATTTGTTATCTTGAAGGAGGTTGTGAGAAATAGAAATAACATAAAGAATTGCAGCTACAACAACAACAATAACATTAAATTGATCAGTGCAAGTCTTGTGCAAATGCTGATAAAAAAGTATGCAGTACAATTAGGCTTTACCAAATTTTGTTATRGAGGACCGTGAGTCAAACTTGACATTAGAACTACAAACGCCATCTAACATTTCAAGACCAACTGATTCACTAAATCTGAAAGGGAACAACACAAAGGAAAAAATAGTTTACTTAAGCTTAAGTTAWGTTAAGCTTAAGTTATGTGAGACACTTGCAGTCATTCAAGAGAAGCAAACTTTTTACGTAGCTTTGTTGCACCCGCCATGTAAGGTAACTAAGTTAAGTTGGTATATATGATGTCGAGAAAAGTTTCGCAAATACTATCGATAATCAACTTACTTGATATTTTTCCACGAATTTCTGTTGTTGAAGTGGAAACATGGAGGGCTGCTCTCCATTATTTCGGATACTATTTTCTCTGTAAGTTTTTCAATCTTTTTAACTAACGCTTCTCTGAATATCAAAATAAATCATAGCAAGCTATCTGATCGACTTCTGTTGATAAGTGAGCTTAAATTCAAAGCTGAAAACAGCTTCAGCAGCTTAATGCAAGGTTTAACCAATAGCAAAGATGAGTTCCGTACCGAAAAGGCGAGAAAAACTGCCCCACTGTTTACGGAATTTCACAATAAGCTTATTTCTTACCTAGAACATTGCTCTATCCTTACAATATTTAATTCTTCTTCATTTGATAATTGTCTGATGTTTTGTGCTGCCAATAATTGTCTCTTTAAGAGACTTATATTAAACCAAAAATCCCCCGGCACAGAAGACATCTTTTTTCCAGCTAGTTGATCGGCGATGATCTGCGGCGCGGACGTGACAACTCTTTGTACGTATACACACAGGGATCCCACACGTATAGATATACGTTTAGCGACGCCATTTTGTTAGTACATGATGGGAGTCGATGGGAGTTGTACGCACTTTTTCACTCTGCTTTTTTAAGAAAGTCCTCAAAAGGTGTTTGTGCATAAACTTTGGAGAGTAGAAGTAGTGTGAAAACATGACTTTTAGAGACTAGATTTTTTTGCGCGCCACAAMAGAGGACTACAACTACATTTGCGGATATGTTGTACGAAATGGCGTCGCTTAGCATTCTTCGGTTTTCAAAATTCATCCACAAACATGCTTTAATTTTTATTAGTACGATGTATGTATAGTGAATTTTTAAATTTTTAAAATTTTTGAATTTTTAAAACAGTGGAAATCTCATCGTATGAGTAATAAAAGAACTGTTTCACTTTTTCAACGATCAAAGAACAGTTTCTCTTTCAACCACTGACAGTGTCTTAAATTCTTCTAAATGTACTTGTTCGCGGTCTAAAACAACTGGTCTTTTGATACAATGACGTAGGAATGGAAGCAACGAAGCTAAAACAAGAAAACATCCTGATATATAGAAGACTAGACGATATGAACGACTGTAATCAGCAATTAAACCTGTTAACACAAAGAAAAAGTGTCAGTGCAACAAATCAGCTATGGGTGGTTTCCCGTCATATGTCCTCTTATTTATATTACGGATGGCGTCTGATCGAATCGTCGAAATTTCACTTGTAATGGATAAACATCAAATTTAGTGATATTTTCACGAAAAGTCATATTCTTGTGCCGTATGCAGAAAAATGAGATCAACTTCTCATAGAAAAACCTGCATGGCGAAAAGAAAAAAAGAAAATGGAGACCCGACAACAGATTTTTTTAAACATGCTTCTAATAAGGACGCGAAGAATTCAACTGTGTGAACAGATACACCGGGGAACAACGAAGGTGAGCCATGTTTTTACCTGCAATTGGTGGACCAAGGAACATAGGAATTGAAGCAAAAAACATCAGCCAAGCAAGACCTTGTCGTGGGTCTACTGACATCGMTAAACAATATGCCGATGTAAAATACATGGCTTCACATATTCCTTGCATAACAGCATAGCCATAAAGATAACCAATATTTGACGCCAATGGCATCAGGAATTGCGTTATTGCCATAAGTAGCAGTCCACATTGAAACATGGTGTAAAACGAGACACGACCAGTGTCACCAACTTTTCCAGTGAGTATTCTACATACAGTCGATATCATACCAGTGACGGGATACATCCACGAAGACGAGTGACTTGATATTCCTATATCTTCAGCGAATTTTATCTATAAAAGAAATGGACATAAAGCGTGAAACAAAAGAAAACAGACGGTATTGAATAACGTATTGTAACTACTGTACTGCACATTTCACGAATTTTTTTAACTCGACATTTGKACAACATRATAGACCCTTATTGTGYAAAAAGACAACGTTGTTGAAGGATATATACGGCGATATGCAAATTGTACCTAACACATGGTATGATATAAATACGTTTAACTTACTAGATGAATCAAGGGCATATAGTGTCCAATATATAATATTGTATTCATAGCAAGCACTAACACCAGCATAGGATTCTTAAGTGAAGACAGGTTTATTGACGATAAAATTAAAGAACAATATTTTCTCCCATTGAAGCATACATTAGAATTTCTATTCTTTGGAGCTAACAGATTCTTATTTTCTACCGCTGTCTTTCGTGTAATAACGCATCCAGGAATTCCAGTTACAAAGTTAATAGACGCCAATATCAACATGGAAGATCTCCAACCAAGACTTTCAATCATGAATTGTGCTAAAGGACCCATAATAAGAACACCAGCCCCAGGCCCTGCCGACACCATACCAGTAGCAGCTGAACGATGTTTATCAAAATACAATGGAACCATTAGAAATCCTGCCATGTAAATTAGACAGGAACCCCAAGCGACCAGGAAACCATATGTGAAGGAGAGAACATAGATATTGGGRGCAAACGACGATCCCAGAAGTCCTAGCGCGGAAATAAATCCACCGCATGGAATGACGACACGACAACCAAAACGGTTAATAAAAATCGCTGCTACTGGACATAGAATAGTGAGGAATCCAACTGAAAACGATCCAGGAAGAGCTGTATAGAAATAAATGATATCAACATCAACATTTCATTGAAATCACAAATGTATATAGTCCTATTTTTCGTACTAGAGTACAAACACTAAAACTGTGCAACATAAAAACCACTAAATACTGCTAAATTATAAATATAAATACAATTTACAATTTACAATTACATACAATTATAATTATGCTATTCTATTGTTTTCTATTGTTTAATTATAAACTCTATTTGGTAGTAAATAGTGGGAAGTGTTGCACACATTTAATGTTTGTACTCTATAGACTTGTTTCTGTTGCCAATCTTTGATGTTACCCATTGGATCATTTAACTCGGTTAAATCACCTGTTTTCGCTTTTCCAGCTTGAAATTCTGTGAAAATTGCGGGGAAAAAGATACCATATATGTAGCATGTTCCCACACAAACAAAACTTGCCAACGAAGCACATACACAGGCCAACCAAGAAGCTTTGCAATCCATTTGTAGGGCTCCACTCGTAACTTGAATTGGATTGTCTAGAATTAATGATTCTCCTTCACCTGTGTGAACGAATATATATTTTAGTGAATCCCTATAATTTTTTTGCCCTTCCATCTTAAAACAAAACAAAGTAAACTAAAGAAAGCTAGAAAGAGTGTCTCCCAGGTATAGAGTGATAGAATGAACAAATATTTTGTTGCCCTACGCAATAATCTAGAGCAAGTGGTAAAAGAGAGTTCAATGTCGAAATGAAATTTTACAAAGTGCATGTCAACTCGGTTGACATTTTCATTTAGGAAAACAATTTCACARCRATCCCGCGTGATTGGAAAATCGRGTAAAATATCCTCGTATGCTTTTTTTGAAGCGTTTATAAAATGACAACAACTCTTCGCTTGAAAGCCGTGTTTTCTGTGCTCTCATAAAAAAAAATTGCGCGTTTCAGCCAATAAATGCGTGCGTTATGTAATGAAAAAACATGCATCTGCAACAAATGAATATTGAGTTAAAAGTTAGTGTACTGTTTTTTTCTACTCTAAATACAGTAAAATATCATATTCTTCATATTCTAAGGCTAATACTCCATTTTACATTTCCAAAGTAGTCGATCACTTGCACCAAAGCGAAGCAGAAGTTTACACTGTATGATAGACACCTTTTGTTCACACCTGACACAGTTATTCACAGGTACCTATCACGCTCAACTGATGCCATTTCGCTTTGATGCAAAAGCACGGTTACCTTTGAAGATGGGGTTGTGAACTATAAAATGGAGTAATTAATAACTATTATCGAAGGTTCTAAAGTACAGACACTAAAAGTGCACAAAATGTATACGCACTAAACAGTGCTGAATTTTGCTAATTCGATTGTTTTAAATGGCTATTGTTTAGTTAGCACTACATATTATAGCCTGTGTACATCTGTTTCTCACCCCTCAAAAAATCGGTTTTTTGAGGGGTGAGAAACGGATGTACACAGGCTATACATATTAGTACATAGCCGTTAATGGAGAGGTCCTCTCTATTAACTATGATTAGTAGTAAAAATTGTTGGTGTTTGCATCGTTTGCACTGCATGTAAGGGCTATATCTACCTTTCGAGCAGACGATTTTTCCACCCAGGTGTTGGAAAAACCCTCTGCTCGCAGGGTAGGCTATGTCTGTATATAGACCGGGTTGGTCTTAATATAGACCATAATATCAGGGAAACATGACATACACAGCACCACAAATGACAAAGAAAACCGATTCAATAATAATAGTCGTTATACTAACGTTARACTACTTTGTCTAGTTGTTTGCACCAGCAAGTTTCATAATAATCCACAATGCGAAAGTTAGACAAACGACTGTTCAAAAACACCTTAATTAAATCATAAGTAAAACATTTGGCGTACGTTTTTCAAGCGCACAGTTGCACCGTTTAATTGTGATTATTTGTTCAAAATTTTTGCAATATAAATAACATTCGATAAATTACAACGCTTCTATGTCTCTGGCATCATTTTGTCAATGAYGCTGGCTGTTTGCTGAGCAGTAAATTCGAACCAAGTATATCAGAACTGACGAGCTGACTGATAAATAAAATACATTTCAGTCGGATGTTTTGAAAGACGTCCCGAGACTGTAAGCCTCTGTCCACACGACCCGGTGAGTACGGAAATAATTTTTGAACGAGAGCACAACTAATAGCGTAATATAATCGTATTCGCGGATGCAATTTCAGTATGAAAGTTCAGGTTTCAAATTTATCCAGTGAAATCGCTGGTGCTGAATGACTCAGATTGAACTGTATTATTTATATTCATAGGCCTACCTGCAAGCACGGCGTAGCTGTGTGGAGCCCCGTTCTCYTGTGCATTCATCATCTTTTCGTCTCACTGTTTATGTACATAACGAACTTTAGTGGAACAGCACTGTCAAACTCACGACTTCGATATCAGCATGAGCATTAACGGTTTTACATCTGATCACCAAKCTATAAGTACCAAAGCGAATGGAATGAAATCATTTTTCATCAAAACAGCGCTCCTAGCTATGACTGATATTATTAAGGACGTGATACTATTTAAAGAAGCTGGTAGTTTTTCAGTGTTTTTCGTTTCCCTGGGGGACGCACAAAAGAATCATTAGCACGGTCAAAAAACATTCAATCCGATTCATATAAACCTGSTAAWAATCGATAAAAGACAAGATAATGATGGGAAAAAAACTAACCGTCCTTGTGAAAGGAAGTCTTTTTAACTCGAATTTAAGAAAAAGGAAAAATGTAATTTTATTTGTTACGCAATTCATTTACAAGGATTTAATATGCTAATTTCGACTTACACAGTCACCTAAGCCTTTGTTATCGAATCGATATCTAGTGTTCTCGAGCACCGAATCATAGAAATGCCCGATCAACTGTGGCGGTTGTCAGTATCTCTACCGAGATTATGCTGTTTGACAGAAGTGCATAAAAAGCTTTTTTCGGGAGAGAGCGGCGATATAACCGTTGTAACTGTGTGAAGAGTCTATGATAATTCGTTATAGTTGTGCAAAAAGATAAATTTAACACCGTRAAAAAAGTAGGTGAAATAACTTACAGACTATAATGATTCCATAAGTCGTAGTATTCGCTCCTGGATTTTTCGGTTTGTCGCTCACTAGCGACTGTGTCCGGGAGCAAAAAAAAAAAAAAAAAAAAAGCGACCTGACAGACTGTTGGAATCAGTCTACTTACAGACGTTTCGGACGTTTATCCTTCGTCGGAGTAAAGAGGATAATCGTTATGTTTGTCCATGATATAAAACTTCAGTGATCTGAATGTTTCATTTTCGAATTGAAAGCGAAGAATAGCCGCTCAAAAACAACTCAAAAACATGGCTGGTCTATCCGAAAGCACATTGTTGCGCACGCATTCGCGTATTTCATTACGAGATTAAAACATTTTTAAATGTTGGTCTGCGACTGGTTTGCGCAGCAAGAGGGACAGGGGCACTGGGTACGAGATTGATATGAAATATGTATAGCATGCATAAAAACCGCCAAGATTTTATAATACACCACCATGGCTTTCAAGCTGAATCAAACTACAGAGCCAAAAGAAGCTAATTAATTACGCTCGCAAGAGGTTGACACAAAACATAAAAAGAGTATACTGCCAAAAAATAAAGTCAGCCCGGCTTAAATATCTAATCTTCTGAAATTTTCTCGACAAAGCACYGGGATGGCGACATCTAGTGGCATGTCTGTGTCAGATAACCTTCATCATAGTCGAACAGCGGACATGCATTTTTTTCTGTTTCCGAATGCGTCCCTTGACAGAATTGATGAACGATGTTCATATATTTCACACCTGAGTATCTGTTGTCCAATCAGTGGTTTTCGCTACAATGTGTATGACATTCATTTCGATTAGCATACCTTCAGAGCTTTGCTGAATAGATCCTCAAGCAACTGCATATCGATCTCCACAGCTCTATGTACAATCACAGGGAGCCCAAGCAGTGATTTTGAACCTATAATAGTTAAAAATAAAATTTTACTCAAAAAAATGGTCTACTTTTATTTTATTCAGTGTCACAATGCATTATAAATGGGTTTCACAAAATATCCCCTACCTATATATATATAGTGACAAGGGAGGAGACTCCGCTCGAAATTCTCCCAWAAATGAGCCAAAAACGATCGACAAAAATCCTTTTTTCGCACCGAAATTAAATAAAAACGAAGTTTTATCTGAGACAGTATATGTAAATCAACGTTTYTTACCTTATTTTGGACGAGAGGCATCGATAGAAACGCTTTTTCGGGCAAACAAATCCAAAAAAGTGTCCCCAAAAATATCCCAAACCCATCCGTGTCGATGGTATTCTGAGGCCACTTGCGCGCGCAAAACTGAAAACTTGACAAATTTGGAGACTATGGGGGGGCCACTCGGGACAGTTTCACCTGTCACGGAGCACATCGCAACTCCTGCTTCATCGGGTTCTTTTGAGCTTCTTACAGATAACTGCATACTTCAGATTACTATATTTGAAAATTTCAGAAGCGAAAACTTTCAAAATTATAACATGGACTTGTTTTTCGAAATCATACG